TCCCAAAGAGAAGCTTTGCCCTTATTGGCTTTCCAGTCGAGTTCTGCAACGCCAGAGCTCCGGTTCCTACACTCCAGAGCCTGGCACTGCAGACTCCTCTCAGGGCACGTGGAATGGGCTTTGCCCACCTCAGAGCTGTGGCTTGACCATGCAGACTGGGCTGTGAGGTTGAGTGACCTGCTCTTCCTCTGCACTCCTGGGCTGCCAGTGCTTGCTGCTTCTCTTCACAGTGATTCACTCGGTCTAATTTTGTTTCCTTCCCATTTGCTTTGTGCTGAGTGACCATATGAAAAATCTTGTTTAGTGTGAGTGCCCTGCCCCTCGGTTCCTCTCCTGGATTAGAGGCTGAACTTGGAGAACTTCAACTTTGGGCAGTTCTCTTAAACCCTGCTCTCATCTGCTCTGGTGGCATTTCCCTGCTGCAGAATGCAGGGAGGGGAAAAAGGATGAGAAGAGCTTAAATTTAAAGTCTTTACAAAATATTCTTCCAGCTTTTGGAGGAAAAGTGGTAAAGTTTGCTTAGCTAGTGGCAAATCCAGCAGCCACTTTGGGGACAATAGTCAGCAGCAATTCACCAGTAGCTGGGAGTTAGCCAGAGGATCTCTGGGCAGGGAGGATGCTGTTACACAGACCACTGCATGCTCTGGAGTCCCTCAAGCAGTGAACACACAAGAGCCACTAAGGAGCCACCTTAGAAAGAGATGCTGAAGAGGAGTCTGGTTCCTGCAGACAGCAGCACATCCCCTGTAACTGCTCACCCTGGGCCAAGGCTGAGCAGCTGCAAGCTTTTGCATGGGAGTCTGCTGGCAAACACTGGAATAACTAATAACTGGAGTTCTTGTGCTGAATAGCTCCTAGGTGGCCTTCACAGAACATTTGCCTAACAAATGGGCTGCAGATCACAGGATAAGGTGCAGCAGGCCTGCAGGCGCCTCTGACAACCGCTGCCTCTCCTTGAGAAGTGCTGTACTAGACTCCTTCAGCCAGGCCTGGATTCCAGCCTGCCCTTCCTTGGGCTGCTCCAGCACCGAGGGTGGAAGCAGCTACAAATCTTTTGCAAAATAACCCTGAGGTGCTGTCTTTGCTCTCCGGATGGACAAAACCACAGGACAGATATCATCAGGCAGCCTGTATGGGCTCAAGGACCCAGCTGTAGTTCTCCCCCAGGTCCTGCTTTGCTTTCTGGCTCTTTTTTTCTTCTTTTTCTCATCCTGCTTCCTCATAAAAGAGAAAAAACTTTGACCTGAAGTCTAAGATGACCCCTAATGATGGTGTAGCCCCTGTAGTCCCCCTCTGACTCGCTGAGGTACGGAGGGAAGAGATGCTCCCTAGGGAAGTGAGGCAGCTGAAGGGATCCAGTGGCCAGGGTGTAAATCTGTTCCCTGTGCTTCCTGCACTCAGCTGGGCTCTGTCTGCTGAGAGCTGGATGTGGCTCCTCAGGACGGGAGCAGCTCTTGTTCCTCCTGCTCTCCCTGCAAGCCCAAGGCAGTTCCCAGGTGAACAAGGAAGCATTTGGTTCCTTGCTGCTCAAGAGTCCTCTGCAGGCTCTGGAAAGCTTCTGGAAAGCTTTTTCCCTTCCTCTGGAGTAGGAGACAGTGGTACAGCAGTGCTGGGGCTGTTCCCTGGCCAGACAGCTCCTGCTGAGGTGCCTCTGCACACTGTCACTGCCAGGTTTTGGGTTGGGGCTGCGATGGGGAGGTGCAGCTGAGCAGCCTCTGGAGCAGTGCTCCAGCAAGAGAGAGCTGCTCCAACAGGCAGAGGGGGTGCTCTTGAAGTCTTACTCATTTGGGGTTATTGCAGTCTTGGGGTTTTTCTTCTGGAGCGTTTTGCACTTCCTACAGCAGAGTCTGGCTGGAGCCAGAGAGGACTGTGGCTTTGGGGCACTCTGCAGCACCTTGGTGTCAGGTATTCCACAACCCACAGTGAGCTGGCTGAACACTGTGACACTGAGCAGCCTGTCTCAGCAGACATGGGCAAACACAATCCATCTTTGACCTTGTCCTGAGTGCAGGCAGGATGATGTGAAGAGATACCCACTACCCTTTGTCTGCCAAAGCCTGTGTCAGTCTGCCTTGACTGCTTCCAACTGGCCCAGGATGGCCAGAGCCTTTCCAAGAGTTGTAACTGAAGTGAATAATGCTTTCATAAAAGAGGCAAAATAAATCTTCCTAAATGACAGAGACAACAGAGCATTCCTAGCTGAGATCTAGCAATAAATAGCCTCTGTACTGATGAGTCTGTATCTGGAGCCTTGAGTGCCAGAGGATCTTGTTTAAATTGAAGTAGGCTGACTCTGTGTTAATCATAATTAAAATCAGCCAGCAGGAAACAACAGATGCTAATCAGAGTTTAAATTTTTCTTGGAATCCTTAAGAGCTGGTTCTCAGGGGGAGCTATTCAGGTGTGGAGCACTTCATAGAGCTCAGATGGTAAACACAGGGTTAGGGGGTTGTGTTGTGGTTTTTTGTTGGTTTTATTTGTCTGGTTTGTTTTTAAATTGGCTACCCCAGTGCATTAACTAGAAATGACTCTGCTTGGGCTATGCTGCACCTACTGTCTGGAAAGCACTTAAGCTGACATTAAAATACAAACTGAGCCTCAAACAGCAGTACCAGTGAGCTCCCTGATGCCTGTGCATGCATTACTATTATGGGCTGCAGCAGCTCTGTTAGCTCTCAGATCTTGTCTTCTCAGTGGTTTGACCCATTTGTCCTGGGTGCAGGGCCTCTGCAAGCACCCTGGCCTGAAAAAAGTGAGCACAAGTCTGCTGCAAAAAAATACCTGTGCAGACAGTTTTGGTGGTGTAGGTTTAGCTCCGTGGGGTTATTTTGGTTGTTTGTTTTGGTGGGGTTATTATGTTTGTTTGTTTGTTTTGGTGGGGTTATTATGTTTGTTTGGCTTGGTGGGGTTATTTTCTTTGGTTGGCTTGGTGGGATTGTTTAGTTTTGAATGAGGGGAGGAGGAGGCATTTCAGAGATGACCACAGTAAGTTTCAGGAGATCTTACCCCTTCAGTCAGTAACGAGTACATGCATGTGTTGCAGGAATATTTTCAGAGTTCTCTGGACACTGGAGGCTTTTGATGCCCTTGAGCAAAACTACATGGGGTGAGGGAAGAGAAGAAGCAGCATACATGACGGGTGGCTTGGAGTGGCTGTGTCTGATTGTGCTGCCATGAGCTTGTCTTGGTCCTTCTCTCTGCATGTTCCCCTGTAGAAAAAAAGAATAATTTTTAAAAAAGAACAAGCTTTTCTCCAGTTTTTAGGTTTCCTAACTGGATTTTTCAGCTTATATCAGGTGGAGTTGTCTTCTTGAAGACCAAAGCTCTCTAAGTAGCTTTATGCCTGGAAGCCACTTCTGAGAAACTTAAACCACTGCAGTAGGAGTCACTTGTTAACTTCATAATTAACTACATGGAAAAAAAAAAACCATTGAATTTTAAACCTGATTTGCAGCCATTGTGTTTTCATGCTGTTTATGTTCTGGAGAGTGCTCAGTGTTTGGAGTTCTTCATTGAACATATTGCTGGCTTACTTCAGAAGCCGCTCAGTTGCTGTGACTACACAAAACATCTCTGGCCTTTTAGCAGAAGTTAGTAGCTTGTTTCTGTCAGAGTAAAGCAATCTGACTATAAATAAATAAAGAAACCTCGAGAAGACAGAGCACTTCTGGAGTCCATTATTGAGTAAGTGGTGCTGTCAAACTGAAGTCCAGTGGATGGTCCAAAGCCAGATAATTATTGCAGACCTTGACATGGCAGAACTAATTCATGTCTGACTGTCCATAAACAACATAGTGTGTTCTGGGCCTTTAATCTGTTGAAAACTGGCCCATTAAGCCCTGTCCAATGGAAGGAGTATCTTCTGGTTTAGCACTTCTCATTTGTTCCCCTTCCTTCCCCTCCCCTGCCCTCACAGCCTTAACTGCAGTTGTAGATGGTCCTCAGTGGGAGAACAAATTTTCCAAAGAAGTCTGGAGAGAATCCTGCAGAGTATGAAGTGAGATAAAAGATGTAATGCATCACAGCTTGACAGAGGACACAGAGTCCCCAGGAGCCTCCAAGTGGCAAAGAAGAACTCTTTCAAAATCTGCCCTCCTGACCCCTATTCCCAAAGGGCTCTGAAAGAAATGGATTGGCTTGACCTGGAATGTTTGGTCAGGGTTGCTCAGTCCTAAACAAGGCTGGTTGTATGTAATCCATCTGTTAGATTTGGCCTCACTTCCACCTCACTACATGGCACAGAAACCTAAATATTGCAGCTGGGGCTGTAAATCAGATCTGGACACACTTTGTTCAGCAGCAGCACTGGTACAGCACTCATTTTCTGCAGGAAGTCATTCCTCTGCTGAGAGGTGGTGGACAGATGACTGGATTGTCCCTATCTAGCAGAGGGAGAGTTGTTCTCGTGGACAGTTGCTAAGTCTGTCACCCATTTCACATGTGCTTTACCTTCAGTTGTAAGAATTGAAGCTAAGCAGAGTGCCAGCAAAGAGAATTTCCATTGGAAAATTGCTAGCAAACTGTTTTCTGCAAGCAATAAATCCAAAGGGCTTTTCTTAAGCCTTCCTCTTCCCCTGCTCTCACGTCTAGCTCTAGCTGAGCTTCAGGAGAATTGCATTCTTCTTCCAGAACTGGGGAGTTACTGGCTTGAAATGAGCACTGGGTCTGCTGTGGGCCTGGCAACGGCAGCCTCTTGGTCAAAGCCTTTGGTCACTCTGCAAACACAGAGGACTAACCCTGTCATCTGGAGTGCTGGTGTCTTCACCAAGCAGGGGAAGAGACCAGTGGCTTGGAGCAGTTGATGTTGCTCTCAGGGAAGCTGCTCAGTAGGTTGGAAATAACCCTTTGGGAAACCACCAGTTGGGTTGGAAATGTCAGTTGGGAAAATAAATGGCAGTTACAATTCTGGAGGTGCAGATCTCAAACTGGTTTATGTAATAGCCATGGAAATATATATATATATAAAAAAAATAACCCAAATATTTTTTCTTTCTTCCTAGGAACTCCAGCAGCTTAGCAAGCAATACAGCAATATCAAGCTTCTCCAACTGGGTGAGTAAGGGGCATAAACAGAAGTATGTTCAATTAAGGTGAATGAATCTTAAGAAACTGGTCTCCTGGGTGACCAGTAGCTGTGCATGACCTCCAGCAGCTGCAAAGAACCATCCTCCCCTTGAGGTAACACTGGGGAAACAGAATCTATGTCTTCTGGGTGTTGTCATCTTGGTGTGCTGCCTAAATGTCCCCATCCAGACTAATGTCTTAGCTTGGTTTGGCATGTGTTGTATGGGGACAGGTGACATTTGAAGCACACTGGTCACTGTGCCTGTTCCTGGCTCCTCTGTGCAGATGTGGTCTGTGAAAACAGCATCAAGAAAGTAGTCAAGGAAGTGGAAGAGATTGTGGGAGACAAAGGTCTGAACTGCCTCATTAACAATGCTGGCATCAATGTGCTTGCTTCCTTGGAAGAAGTCACAGCAGAGACAATGCTCACCATCTATGAAACCAACACAGTTGCCCAGCTGATGGTCACCAAGGTAAGACCTGGGAGGAATTGTGCTTAATCTGTGGTACTGGAAGAGGCTTTTCCACTAGTGAGGACATGTAACCCAAGCATTTGTCACCTTGGAACAGCTCAGTTACAGGTCTGACATCAACCTGCATGTCTAGAACAGCAAGAGATCCTTTCTATCTAGGATCTTTCTCTTTATTTAAATCCATCTGGTATGAGGACCCTTTAGTGGACAGGTTGGGCTTGAAGATGGGCAGAAGAGCCTGAAGGTCCTTGCTACTTACAGGTGGCTGTTATAAGGTTTCCTATGGTCCTCTTGTTTGAGGAGTCATCACCATTCTGTGCTGGTGGCACAGGGTTGTACTGCAATTCCTAGAGCAGAACCTGAGAGTTCAGAGTGCCTTGAATGGGCCAAGAGCAAGCTGACCACATTCAAACCAACTCTTCTTTCCACAGGCATTTCTACCCCTCCTGAGGAAGGCAGCCCAGCTGAGCACAGGAATGGGCTGCCACAGAGCTGCTATCATCAATATGTCCTCTCTTGCTGCCTCCATGCAGCTCGTCCAGGCAAATGAGATGTTCCTCAAGGTCTACCCCTACAGGATAGCAAAGGTTCGTGGGCTTCCCTGGGCTGTGCTCCCTGGGTTAGGACAGGCCTCTGAGTCAAAGACCACTCTGAGCTCAAGGTGATGATGGGAGGTGTGCAGCACCTCCTCGGGCAGGCTGGCACAGGAACTGTGCTTGTTCTTCACGTGGGTGGAAATGGGACCTGTGAAAGGTGGACATGTGGAGCAAGCATGCCAGCCTCTTAACAACAGGCTCAGGGGTGCTCTGCCACCATTGTGATGTGGATCTGCCTCAGAGGGACTTGGCATTCAGGAGAGAGCTGATGCCATCCAGTGTGTGTCCTGTTCACTGTGTTCCTCTCCAGCCCAAGTGAGACAGCAGGTGTGAAACTCAACAGAAGCTGTGCTGACCTGTACCTGGTAGCCCTGCTTAGTGAGAGGAGGGGTTTTTGGTTTTGTCACATCCAGAGACTGAGTTTGTAGGAACAGTCATGATTAGACATACAGTTTCTCCTACACCACCTACTCGTAAGCTGTTAATGTGCTTGTTTTCCCTGCTCAGAAGTAAAAACCTGAATGTTTATGTAGTGATTATTGCAGAAAAACAGAGTCCTTCTGTCAATATTATTTTCCCCACAGCTCCTTAGGAGTTTCAAATGCTACTTTATCTTCCATCATCACTCAGTTTCATCTTTGGGTAGTAAGCTGGTGGTGACAGAGCTTTCACAGTGCTCCCTGTAACAGATCCTGCTGAGAATGAAGCCCCCACTGAGTCTGGATAAGTTACTGTGATGCCATCACTGCTCCTTCATTCATCAGGAGAAAGGGAGGTGCCAGTGAGCTTGGCTTCAGCTCTTGCTCAAGGTTTGTAAATCTAGCCCACTAATGGATGGTTTTCACTCTTGCAGACTGCTCTGAACATGATCACCAGGTGTCTGGCTGCAGACTTGAAAGCGGATGGAATTCTCTGTATTTCTTTGCATCCAGGCTGGCTTCAGACAGACATGGGGGGAAACATGGTGAGTGACTTCTCTCTGAGAAGGTGGAAGTGTGACTCCCTTCCTCTCCCAGCCCTTGGGCAAGAGCCCACTGTACAGCCCAGCTCCACGTGCTGCAGAGGCACACTGTGAAATGTGAAAACACATCCCCCCGATTCTGGTAACTCCTGAAATGCTTTGGACTCTCTTCTGTTCCCAGTAATGATCTGAGCTTGCTTTGCTCTAGGCTCCCATGCAGGTGCAAGAGGCTATCCCAGGTATTCTCTCTGTCCTGGACCGTCTGGGTGAGAAGGAGAATGGTTCCTTCCTGGACTGGCAAGGGGAAACTCTGCCGTGGTAGAGGAGCAGAGTACACTGCAGGAGCACCACACCACTCACTGTTTGACTTGTGCCACTGATGTCTGTGTCTCTAGGGTTTTCTTAGATGCTAGCTGAAATAGCCAGTCTGATATCCAGCCTCTCTCTAGGTGTATTTGGAAGGGGAGGTGGCTGACTCTTATTTGGTATTGCTACTGCTCTGTTCTAATGCTTCCTGCAAATGCTGCTTAGTGATGGGCACCTCCTGGAACTGTCTGAAATGGGTTAAAAGCTGCAAGTTAAATCCAGGGGCTGGTTCCTCTTCGCTTTGCAGAGGTAGATGACCTGGGCTCAGAGTGAGGCCAGTGCAGCTGTCAGATCCCAGGATGTTCAGGCTGCTGGAGACATGTCTCTGGAAAAGATCCTTCCCTTTCCTTTAGTCCTGACTGAGCCAAGGCTGAAATTACCCAGCTGTAAACTACATGAATTTGGTACTTCTGTAAATTCCTCAGCAACCTCTGAGAGTCCCCAGGTTGAAAGTACAAACCAGGCACTTGCTTTGTTCCCAGTGGGTGACTAACATCCTGCTACGGGGGTGGGGATGTTGTTTTGTACATAGACTTCTGAAGTGTCTTCAATAAAGTCTTGTTTAAACAAATAATCTGTCTACTGAGCTATCTCAGGTAACTTTGCTGTTTGTGGGTTTCTCTTTGTAGGTTTCTTTTCCCTGGCCAGAGGATTTTATGTCTAGGCTGAGGGAAGCAGCTCACTGTGGCTGCCTCCTGTGGGCTGGATGGGTTTAACTTGGTGGGGTGTGCTTGAAACTGAGGCAGACCCTCGCTCTGGTCTGAAATACTAAAAGCAGCTGGTGAAAAGATCTTTGTGTTCTGGCTGAGGTAGGGATAAAAGCAAAAAGTTCTTTGAAGTCTGGGCCTGGCTTCAACCTCGCTGCCTCATGCCAGCTGATCAGGCACTTTCATGCTGTGCCAAGATGGTGCCTTCCCCCACCAGGTAAGAGAAGCCAAACAATAGCCAGGTAGGTGGGAGGGCTGGGAGTGGCTGTTCCTGGGCAGCAGCCACCCCGAGACCTGCCCAGGAGGCAGCTGGGGGTGCCAGCTGAGAGCCATCGAGCTTCCTCCTCAGAGGGGCTGCAGGACCAGCACAACCCTGATAAGGGAGGGGTGAGCTCTGCTTGGACCAGCTAAACTTTAGTTTGAATCCACCATCAGAGGCTGCTGAGTGGGGAGAAGGAGTGGATGTGCCTTCTGCAGCCTGCTGTGAGGAGTGCTGGTGGAAACCATCCCTGCTCTGTGACTCGGAAGGGTGGGGATGGGAGAGAAGGGATGGCTGCTGGGGAGGAGATGGCCTGGTAGCAAAAGCCTTGCAAGACCTTCCTCCCCTGGATGCTCAGGGTCCTGCTCCTGCCTGACCCTCTTGTGCTGCCAGGCTGAGGTGGGACCAGCACAGGCTGGGGTTAACCTGCTGAAAAAGAGCTTTGTGGGCAGCAGGTTAAGCATGAGCCAGTAATGGGCCCTTGTGGCCAAGAAGGCCAATGATCTCCTGGGGTGCATGAAGAGGAGTGTGGCCAGCAGGTGAGCAGAGGTTCCCTTTCCCCTCTGCTCTGCCCCGGTGAGGACACCTCTGGAGTATTGTGTCCAGTTCTGGGGTCCCCTG